TGCCAAGCGTTCAAAAGCATCGATCCCCGATCCGCGATCCGTGGTCCGCGATCCTCGATCCTCGATCCTCCATCCTTTGGAATTTCCAGGATTGTGGCCAGGACTTTGGTGGCGGTGCCGGTGTGCAAAAATATGTTGACATCTTAGCACTCACCCAAACAACATGATCACAATCTGGAATCCCTCATGGTGGTTGACGGGCAGGGGTGTGGTTAATCTTGTTTTTGCAGCTTGTGGCCACGCGTGCAGGCAGACAGTCACCACCATCGCACCAGCCACCAAGTCGTTCATCACCTGGAGGGCTGCTCGCTGGTTCCTGGGCTGTCTCGTCAGATGTTCTTCGTTTTGGGGACCTTCCTGTGGCCCACCTCACGGATCTGTGCGACTCTGGTTCGACTCTGGCCCGCCTCAGGTCCGACTCAAGTTCGCCTCGAGTTCGACTCAAGCCAACGGACGTTCGACGCACGAGTGGAGCGAGTGGCTCCAGGAACGTCCCCAGAACTCGGGGGGCAGAGAGCGAATGAAGGACACGCCGCCGCTGGAAGGCCGGACGCGTTTTTTATTTCATTTTTGTTGATGATGTGTGTGTGTGTTTATACGTGAAATCTTTTCTGTCCCAGTACACGGCGGTTGTTCGGTAGAAGCACGCTGATGTGGTCCCCACAGCGGCGTGTCATTGATACGCTTTTCGCTAGTTTAGTTTATGTTTGACGTGCTGGGGTAGGTTTTTTTGTTGTTTGTTTTGCTTGTTTTCTCATATACATAACATCAAGTAAAAACATTTTTTTCTTCGGCGAACCGGAGTGGGGAAACACGGCAGCCCCAAACAGAAGAACACGGTAGTCCAAAACGGAACCGAACCGAAAACGGCGCGACCGAAAGTCCCCAAATGGGAAGACATATTCCAAACCGGGGAGTGAACGTTGACTTTTGAAAACAGGGGAAGCATCCGCAGCGTTTTTTACATCGTCTACGGTTGGCGTTGGACAGATGGCGTGCGATGTGGCGCGCGCTGCCCGACTATTACACGCCACCCCCACATTGGGGATATCGTGCGCGCCCTCGCGGGGGGATTGCCTCACAGGAATAGCCTGCACGGACGAAGCCTTATTTTGGGGTATAGCATGATTTGCGGAGATCGGTGTTGCACTCGGCGGCGGGTGCGGGGGGTGAGTGAGAAGGAGAAAACCTTCTCAGAAGGCGGCGGGCCTTCTGAGAGGTTTTCTGTGCCTGCGGGGAGGGGGACTTCCGAGCCTCCTTACCGTCGCTTCTCATCTCCCCCCAGGGCTCGCCGCCGACTGACTCCTGATCGGATGAGGAGGAGGGCGAGGAGGAGGATGAGGATGAGGAGGAGGAGGAGGAGGAGGAGGAGGAGGAGGAGGACCAGTGTAAACCCAAGATTCATCAACGATGTTGGAATTAACCCTCCCACCAAGCCCTCTTCTTCATAGGCACCATACAACGGTTCATTTCCATTGAGGGAACTGCCTCGCTGGAAGACAACCGTTTGACGATCCTGAGGCATGCCAAAACATTGTTTTCGGGATTTAAATGCCACGTATCAGTCTGACTGCTGCGTTTTGGCGAACCGGAATCGTGCCGTAACGCCATTCTTTGGATTTCAACACTGCGAATCAACATAACTGTTGCACCCGCATAATCCTGAATCCTTCCGAAACGCCGTTATTCCTACGTTGATCACGGGAATTCGTGAAACCCGGCAAAGTTTTAAAACGAATGTGCGCGGCGCTAAGGCGAGAGCCACATTTTGAAAAGGAACCGCCCTCAATCCGTGAAACTCTTGCAATGTCTTCAATCGAGTGTGCGCGGCACTGAGGCGAGAGCACATTTTGAAAACCACCCGCCCTTCATCTGTGACGCTGTTGTCACTTATTTAGCCTCAGAGTCATAAATGGTGAGGAATTCTCAGGCGAAACACCCGGCCCGCCCTAAAAACTGGCTTCGGGGTGCGACAGGGAGGAATTATCTATAAGGAGAAGGAATGGAGGAGGGGGAGGGAGGGAGGTAGCGAGGGAGGGAGGGAGGGAGGGAGGGCGAGAGGGAGGGAGGGAGGGCGGGAGGGAGTGAGGGCGGGCGGGCGGGCGGGCGGGCGGGACGGAGGAGCAGGAGCACGCCATCTTTGTGACGCCATCCCTGAGCTTGCCTCCCAAGAACGAGCGCCCAGCTCCTCGGGGACGCGGCCGAGCGGCCGCGGGCCGTCGCCAGCGCCGAGGCCGCGCTGCGGGCTCTGGCATCCGCCAACGGCGCGGGCGCTCCGTAGCCTTGGCGCGCACGTGGCGCCGCCGCTGGCGGCCGCTTGCGGCGTCGCTGCGCCAGCTGCGGCGCCGAGGCTGTGCGCCTCCCCCCCAGATTGGCTACGCGTAAGATGGACCTTTCGCCTGTCCCAGTTCCCCTCGGGTCATGCAAATTCATGACGGTTTTTCTTGTTGCTCTCTCTCTCTCTCGATCTTTTCGGCCTTTGGGGGCCCTTCCCGGGTCTCGGGGCCGTCGAGCAGCGACTCGGGATGAAACGCCGGTGCTGGGGAATGGGTCCAGACAGCTTGGGGTCCGCGTCCTGAGAAATTCATGACGTCGGGGGTGGGGAGTGACCTTTCGCTGGAGTGGCCTCTGGTGCGGGCCCACAGGGGTGGCCCCAGCACTGGCCTGCATGCTCGAAGCTGGCCCAGCCGCGCGCACCAGAGGTCACTCCTGCCCAGGTTTCCTTCTCGTGTTGGCGACTTATCCCTATCCCCACTGGGCCATGTCATCTCGCTGCCACTACAAAAAAAACTGCCGCGGCGACGACGACGACGAAGACGACGATGACGACAAATGGATGACGAAGACGACGATGACGACGATCACTATGTCGAGCGACTGCCGCCGGCTACTTCTAGCATCACCCCTCCCCCCTGTTGGAGAGGGACAGGCCCCTCGAAACCCGGGGGGGCCTCCGGAAACCCCGGGGTCTGAAAAAAACATGTTCAAGGCCTGAAGCATTGTTTTTCGCTCCCCGGAGCTCACGGCACCTCCGGGGAGCCTCCGGAACCCCCGGGAGCCAGAAAAGCATTTTCGAGGCTTGAACAATTATTTTTCCAACACCGGGGCCCGCGGCGCTTCCGGGGAGCTCCCGAAGCGCTCGGGGGGGAACGGCCCACGCCCCCATCCAGGGGGTGCGAGCGGCCAGTGGCGCCCCGGCGACGCCAGTGCGGACAGGGGGAGGGGGAGGAGGAGGGGGAGGAGGAGGAGGCGGAGGAGGAGGAGGAGGAGGAGGAGGAGGAGGAGGAGGAGGAGGAGGAGGCGGAGGCGGAGGCGGAGGAGGAGGAGGAGGCGAAGGAGGAGGAGGCGGAGGAGGCGGAGGAGATCGGGCGAGCACGAGGCGCAGAGGCCCGGGGACGCGAGGGGCATACCCAGACCCCCGACGTAATGATTTTTTCATTACGTCGACCCCCAGAGGTCCCGACCCTTTCCCCATGACCGGCTTTGCATCCTGAGTCGTTTTTTGACGCTCCAGAGGCCCGGTGAGGGCCCCCGGAGGCCGAAAATTAGGAAAAACCTCCCGTCGTGATTTTTTCATTACTCGAGGGGGTCTGGGTATGCTGCAGGTGCCGGCGCGCCTCGCCTCGCCCTCTGGCGCCCTTCTGGGCCCTCCGTTGGGGGGGGGGGGGCGCGTCGCCACGGCCGGGCTTCGCCTCGAGCTCCTGGTCGGGTCGGGGCGCGCCCCGGGAGGGGTCCTCGGGAGTTGCGGCGTCGGTGTCTCGTGATCCTCGGCCTCGGGCGCCAGATCCAGGAGCTCGCCTGCGTGAGGTCAGCGGTGCAGGGCTCGATGCGATTCCTCCGATTCGATTCGATCCGATTCCGATGGGTTCCGATTCCGATTCGAGGCGACTTAGGATTCCGATTCGGATTCCGATTTCTCACTGGAGGCCTAGTAGCCTGCCGATTTTCGCCGATTCGACTTCTCCCGACTCAGCCGCCGATTTCTGCCGATCCGATTCCTTCCGATGTCCGATCCGATTCGTCGATTCGATGCTGGGTCGGCGCTCGACGGGGCCAGGGTGACGGCGGGGTCCGAGGAGCGGGCCGCACCGTGCATGTGCATCGGCGATCCAGCGCGATCTCGAGCACGGCCTCTCTGCTCCCTGTCTCGCCGCTCCTGCGACCCCAGCTTGCGTCTCCTTCCCGATGATCTTTCTCCTCCCCACCTGGCGCCAGCGATGCGGCGCGGTCCTGCGACCCCGTCTGTGCTGCCGCAGTCTGGAGCTTGGGAGCTGAAGCCGGCTGGGGGGAGGGGGAGGAGGAGGAGGAGGAGGAGGAGGAGGAGGAGGAGGAGGAGGAGGAAAAGGAGGAGGAGGAGGAGGAGGAGGAGGAGGAGGAGGAGGAGGAGGAGGAGGAGGGTGGGCATCATTGGTTCCAGTCGTGCGAGAGGGGGAGAGGCACCGCCGTACATAGGCTTCGTTCCTTGGTCCCCTCTGGGCCGTCACCTCCAGATGGGCACTGCATGCCGAACTCGCCCCCTTTCAACTCCTCGCTGGTTTTGCTGGTGCCCGCCCATCATGAGCTGACAAGTAGCACCCATACTTGTACGACCCCTAGGAACTCCCGACGTGGAATTCTGGAGGGGGGGGGCTGTGGGTGTGTGTTGTCGGATAGGGGTCCCCGCTCGCATGGGAGACCCCCTTGGACTGCGACAGCCCGCGCACATAGCCATGACGCGCCCTCACGTCGCGAGAGGCGCGGGCTGGCCCCCCCTGTAGGTATGAGGGCAGGTTGTCCGTGCAGAAATCGCCTCCAACGCGGGAGCCCTCTGGTGTCGGTGTCCCTCCCCAGACATCGGGCTCCTCGGAAAAGTCGAGGCGGAGATTGTTCACGGTTTTCGGCTTCTCGGGGCCCCAAAGAGGGCCTCGGGACCGTCAAACATCGTATCGGGATGAAAAACTGGTCCCGGGGAAGGTCGGGGGGCCCGTGTCTCGAGAAAAGTCGAGACGCCAGATGCCTGGGCCTCTCAGGAGGGGAAAAAACACACAGACACATTTAATCTTCGACTCCCAGGAAAATATGGGAAAGTACAAGAATTGTGGGGGAAGACAGAACCCCCCCCCAAATGCGGAAATATGGAGAATCCTGAGATTTGTGTGTATTTATTTGTGTGTCCTTGGGCCCCTTGAGTCTCTTCCTTCAGGGGCCGTGGCCTCCGCCCGGCGGCGGCGCGTCGCTTCGTGCGGGCCTGAGCCGCGGCGGGCGGCCCGCGGTGCGGCGGCGGCAGCGCTGGTGGGCCGAGGGGGGTTAGAGGATGGGGAAGGGGGAAGAAAGGGGTGGGGGAAGAAGTGGGGATGATGGCAGCAATGCTGCTGATGCTGATGCTGCGGCTGCTGCTGCTGCTGCTGCTGCTGACGATGACGATGATGATGATGATGATGATGATGATGATGATGATGATGATGATGATCACGATGATGATGAAGATGATGATGATGATGATGATGATGATGATGATGATGATGGTGATGATGATGATGATGATGGTGATGCTGATGATGATGATCATGATGATAATGATGATGATGATGCTGATGATGATGATGATGTTGATGACGATGACGATGATCACGATGATGATGATGATGATGATGATGATGATGATGATGATGATGATGATGATGATCACGATGATGATGATGATGATGATGATGATGATGATGATGATGATGATGATGATGATGGTGATGATGATGATGATGAGATGATGCTGATGATGCTGCGGCTGCTGCTGCTGCTGCTGACGATGATGATGATGATGATGATGATGATGATGATGATGATATGATGATGATGATGATGATGATGATGATGATGATGATGATGATGATGATGATGAAGATGATGATGATGATGACGATGACGATGATGATGATGATGATGATGATGATGATGATGATGATGATGATGATGATGATGATGATGATGATGATGATGATGATGATGATGATGATGATGATGATGATGATGATGATGATGATGATGATGATGATGATGATGATGATGATGATGATGATGATGATGATGATGATGATGATGATGGTGGTGGTGGTGGTGGTGGTGGTGGTGGTGGTGATGATGGTGATGATGTGATGATGAGGAGGAGGAGGCTCTCACAAGTGTCACAGTTGTCATGAAAGGCAGCACTCCAGATCAGCCCTACATCCCCGCAGGGGAGGATGGCTGCTACGGCAACCAGTGAACATACGACCGCAAGCACTTAACTACTTGAAGAGCACTTCCAGTCGGCGTCCAACCATTATATGTGCGACGGAGACGACAGCTTGACACCACTACTTGTGAACAAAAACGTGCAGCACCAAACCCAACACCACAACGCACAGCTATCTCCAACCTAGACTTTGACCCGACGAATGCCACACCGCTAAGTGGACAATCGGTACGCAAGAGACAAGACGAGGTCATGAACGAGGAACTGGACAGAAGGTGTGTCTACATGTTACTTTGGCTTGGCCACGGATACATACCAGCTCCCACACACGAGGGACGGGCCTACACCACACGACTGGGGCACATCACCATCGCATACGTACCTGGCATCAGCAACGGGTGCTTTCAGCAACTGCACCAACGAGGCAACGCCACACTACAACGCTGGAAGCAGATGCGATTTCCACGACAGCATCGCCAATCACTTGGCACTACGAGCATACGATATTCCTCACTACAGGCCACTGCAAAAACGATGCGTCGGTTTGCCTCTCGTACACGGACAAGAGGTACACGAGAACGACATCCTGCACCAGGCCATCAGATCCGTACCGTGGCACGAGCTTGCTGAAGACATTGCAACGTAACGATTTCGATTCAAGTACGCCTACTACAACAGCGACCGCACCGAGCTAGACCTCAATGATACCCTTTACAATATCGTCAAGCAGCTGATCATCAAGCTATGCGGCTTGGCCGCGGACGAGAACAGCGGTATACACACCACACGATACATGCGCGCGCACACGACAACCGTTTAAGTTCCCTAATGACCAGCAGCAGCAACATCGACACAGGCTCGGAGCTGCTCTCTTTGACTAACGTACTAACAGATTCACTGCGCGCCACAGCAGCAGCAGCACTTCACCCACCATGGGCTACTATGACCATCGACAGGACGCGCCGACACATCACACCACGTGTTGATCACGAGCAACCTAAGTACGTCGAGGTACGCACGATCCCTGACTACATCGTACAAGAGCTCAACCGATTGAGATGCACAGTAAGACAGCCTCACCCACCTACGCAACCCAACGCGCCACCGACCCTGTTCGAGCCGCTCGCATCAATTCCAGCCCATCCCAAGTGACCACCCACAGTTTGGTCGCTCGAAGCCACGACCATCCAAATAATCTATCCCCATCATCTTGCATTCCCAGTCATGCCATCGACGCGCACGAACCGACCAACGATTGTATTGCACATGCCGCACCCCATGGGCTTTCA